ATCCTTGGGTACTCCACCCGACCTATGACTTACCACATATCACACTAGATAGGGTCTATATCATATTTAGTCACTCATAACTAATTCAATACATAAGACTTATGTATCACAATTCATGCAAATCCATGCAATTATATAAATGTACAATTAACTAATATCAACCGACATTAATTAATCCATTATCCATCGGTCAACGTTGTCGTTGACCGCCATTCAAGCCTTGTACATATCAACTTAATCATCGTATAATTAAGTTAATAATAGTCATTTGTGCTTCTTTGACATTCCCAACAAATATGCATTTCATATTATTTCTCATATCATGTTTAATGTATAAACAATTAATTCTTTTCATACAAACTTATCTATGTTGGCTAATCACATGTTTAAATATCTTTTAAACATCATTATGAACACTTATAACATATATTTAGGTAATCTTATAATTAACCCAAAAGTTATAAGATATTAAGCCGTCCACTCACCTTGAACTAGCGTATGAAGTTCTACCCTTCTTGGTTGAACTCCGGTGAAACTCCGGCGACTTTTGGTCAACTCCGGCGACAATTCCGGCGACTTTTCCAACTTTGTGAAATCACTTGAAATACCCTTTACAAGTGCCTAAGTATTCACACTTTTTCCTAACTTTTTCCTTCTCAAACCTCCTTCTTTGGACCAAAACCTCTTGAGCTCGTGCTGCAACAATGGAGGTGGTCTTGGGAGCTTTTCCTCTTCCTTTCTTGATGCTTTGGTCGAGCTCAATGATAGGGGTCAGAGAGGGCACACCCTTTTTGTCTCAAATGACAATAAGAGAGGGTGAGGGGTCCTTCTTGGTACTATAGATGCCAAATGGTCCTGCTCCACATATTAATTTGTCATTCCAGCCTACATGGGTCTTGTTGAGCACACAAAAACGTGGGGTGGCTCCCACTCATGTGGGAGGTCATCCCTTTGTGTCCCGATGTGTACAATTGGTCCCGAAAGTTGTATTTTTCGGACTGTTTTAAATATATTTTATTTTATCGGGTCCAATAAAATATATTACGTGTTCCCAACCGTAACGCCCCTTTGAAATAATATATATTCCAAAACTTTAATTTAGAAGTCTCCGAAATTCATTTTCGGGCTCAAGTCTGTTAAATTGTCGGTACCGGTATTTGGGCCTCTTTTGCCCAATCGGCCAACACAAGGCCTTTCCACGACCCAAGTAAAATATCCACCACCATATAAATATTATCTTGACCAAGATGAATAAAATATGTGGTCTCGGGAAAGTTGGGTGGTCCCCGCTCCCGATGTGGGTCCCACATGCAATTTACTATTCACGCGAAAGAAATAATAAAAATTTACAACTTCGTAATTTCATTAATCCTTTAATAAGGTTCGATACATTATTTACATGAAAGTAAATATATTTGGGGACGGTGTTACATTTGGTTTCACCCATGATCATTTGATTGATCCTGGATCTGTTTTAGCTCAGAATAGACCTAATCTAAACATATTACAACTATTTTACAAACATAACTATTACACCAAAAGTGTGTAATTTCCAAAGTATCACACAACAAAAACTAACTAAAAACATACACATACATATGGAAATTATAAGTGTATCACTACCCATTAACCCCCTACCACCTCCCATACCTTGACCCACCCCCTACCAAACCCCTTACCCTACCTATCCATGACCATACTCCTTACCCCACCCCACTTATAACCCCCTTTACCCTACCCCTTTAACCCCTACCACCTGCCCTGCCTTGACTCCACCCCGACCCCTACTCACTAACCCCCCGACCATACCCCACCCCACCCCCACTCGTACCTTTTTACCCTAACCCGACCCTACCCCTTTAACCCCTACCACCTGCCCCTACCTTGACCCCTACCCCACATATTATATTATATTATATACTTGTGTTCATAAATGTTTGTGTATGTATATATGTAGTATAAGGTCATTTTAGACATTTTTTTAATGTCAAACGGTGTTTTAAATCCTTTGAAGTAAACATGAGATTACAACATTGCTTATTTTTTGTGTCGCTTATTAACGCGAGCCTTTATAAGCACCGTTTAGTAACCTTGAACTAAACATGTGCTTAATGTTTTTACATTTGTTTTCAGCCGGCCAAATTACCAAATTGGTTGGGGGGGGGTTCATTGGACAGATTGGTAAAAAAATCACTTGAGGCATATTGGTTAAGAAAAAGAAGGCATGGTGACAAATTGGTCAATTTTTTGTGTGATAAACTTTTTATCCTCGACTTTAGAATTCCCAACATTTCATATTCTAAGTATTGTGAAGTTGACATCTGCAGTCATTTTACTTTAATTTTGACATCGAAAGTGGAAGTCTAAAAATGTCAATGACCGTGTTTGATAATATTAGTTGTCCGCTAGCTCATAACCGGTTGAATCAACAGATTGATATTAGCGGATTCATTAGTTTTTTAACTAACCGCTTTCATTAGCGGTTTGAAATTAAACGTTAGTAAATTAAAATTTGTAATTAGTTTTTCAGTCATAAAATGACCGTTAAAAATGAATTTAAAAGCTTATACATTTAAAGTAATTTTATTTCTTTTTATTTGTAATAAGTTTTAGAAAAAGATTTAAAAGTTATGTTTACGTTTATTTTAAATAATTACTAACAGTACCATTTTTAAGATATGTACATTAATGCGAGCACGCACATATAAATTCAAATATTTTTAGTAATAATATTTTTAATATGACTATTTATAAGTTTTTTTAAAGTCTACTACATTTAAAAAATCTACTCCAGAATTCTACTCCATATTACTATTTTTTAGTTTTTTTTTTAAATTCTCCTTAGTTATTTAAAATAAATGTAAATACAATTTTTAAAACCTTTTCAAAAACTTATTAAAAATAAAATAAATAAGGTTAAGATATAATATATATTTTTAAATTTATATCTTTAATGGTCATTTTACGTCTTAACATTTAATCGCAAACAATTAAATTACAAACATTTTATTTCAAACGCTAATGAAAGGGGTTAGTTATAAAACCTAACAGAATCCGCTATTATCAATATGCTGATTCAATCAGCTATTAGCTACCAGACAAATGATATTATCAAATATGGTCGTTGACATTTTTAGACTACTTTTGATGACAAAATCAAAGTAAAAAGACTGAAAATGACAATTTCACAATACTTTTTTTATCATAAAAAAAGATGGCTTAAATTGATATCATAGCATTCAGATAGGGGGCAAAACGACAAAAGGACCACATACACCCGTCAGCTCTCGAACCAGACTTAGAGTCAATCACCTCCGAAAAAGCAATATAACTCGTTGATCCTATAATGGGCATAAATGAGCCAACGATGATTAAAGTAGATCTCCCATCACTTAATCCTAATGCAAGAGTCTTACAACAATAAAAAATAACCAGCAGAAAAATAAACAATCTGATAATGAAAAATAAGTAGCATGCAAACGGTAAAATTAAAATACTGCTTCAAAACCCTAAACTCTCCTACACTCCATGGTGGCGGTTTAGGAGACGGACGGTCCAATAGTATTGTAGCATCTTCCGCTCCTTGCCTCCGGTTCGGATATGTTCCAATCTCTAGCCCCACGCTTCGTCTATGACTTTCTAATCTAAACCATGAATGGCATCCTCGAAACTCTCCACCTGCTGCTAGGGGTACACAACCTTTGGCCGCCATATAGGCGCTGCGATTTGCCGAAGAAGAGAATCTCACGAAAGGCGGACGAAAGCCGCACTTCGTCGAAAACGAAAGCGGAAAAAAACAACCCCTAGCCGTAGGGGAGACGGTCGCCTAGCCAATTTCACAATAAAAAGTCGGGAATTCTAAAGTTGAGGATGGAAAGTTCATCGCTCACAAAAAAAAGACCAATTTGTCACAGTTTTTTTAACCACTTTGGTAATTTGGCCGTTTTCAGCCCCCTTTGCATTTCGTCTCAATTCCGTCTGCCTTCGTTCCCATTTCCCGCCTTCTCTGCACACTTCAATCTCCTCCTCTTTCTCTGTTATTCCGCCTTCACCTAGATCCATTTCACCTACGACATTTGTGCCATATCGAATCAGATTTCCCCGATTTCCGTAAGCGAGATCATCAAGGAAAATATCATTCACATGGTTGTCATTTCCATCCTCCATCATCACGAGAATCATTCATAAACCGGCTAAATTTTACTGCTTTAGAATACATTTTTGTTAAGTTTTGATTCACTTGTGATCGACCTAGAAAGTCAATGGCCAATCAGCTAATACATTTTATAAGCTAACCAAATCAGGTCGATCCAAGATGCTCCGCCAAAGTCAATGGCCACTTGAGCAAGACAAATGGTTCAATGGGGTTCTTGTTATATAGTTATATTCTACTTTCATCCTCAATATGATTTCTTTCATGTACTCTTATTTTCTCTTTCAGACTGGGCTGTTTAATTGAAGCACTAGAAATGGTCCATCACCGTGAGTTTAAGGGAAAAAGAACCGTATCAAATGAACCTGGTGAGTTTGCAGTTTTTTGTTTTTGTTTTTTAGGTTAAGGTACATGTAAATTTACACTTCCATTTTTATCATTTAAGGCTTAAGTTTGAGTCATTGGAAATATAATTTTCAAATAAGCTCCAGTTTGAATGTTTTTTACAATCTTTATCAGAATTTCTTTGACTGAGGATTTCAGAGTGGCTAATTTAATACGTAGTACAACCGGTAGTTGCAAATTGCACTAAATATGGGATGTATAAGTTGTGGAGGAGAATGTTTAAAACAAAGGCATGATTTTGTTAACTCTTTCTAAGTTTTCTTTACACTTGCAACTTTACAAAACTTAAAGCAATACAAATTATGCTGACAAAAAGTGAAGAAATGGATCTTCTTCATACTATTATCTTAGTTTTGATTCGGTTTCAAATTGTTAAAACCCTCTTTAGTCATCTTAAGAATTTACAAGCACAATAAATAGCTACACATAAAACACTCTTTAGTTTATACGGAGTAGTTGTTAAAACAACTTTTTGAATAATTAGCAAAGACAGTCTACTTAAAAATCACTAAGCAGAAAATTTATACGTAGTAGCTTTCAGGGCTCACTGAAACAAAATTGCCTTTACATAAGTGTAGAAGCTTGGGATTCAAGCTTGAGAGTGAAATAAGTGCATTATAAGCTAATACCTTAATACCTCATGTTTATTTGTAAGGCTTCTCTTCTTCTTCTTTTTTTTTTTTGTTTTTTTTTTTTAATACCAAAATCATGACCATATATAGAAATTCTCAACACTACATTTGTTGCAATAAACAATGACCAAGAAAGTTTTCTCGAAGCTAAAAAAACAGCATGAAATTGCCAAGATGATCATGCTATGCGGTATCTCAATTCTCCATCCAAGCCAACGTCCCCACTATAAGATTTTTGCTAGGAAGTTCTCCGGCACATGGTGCAAGATATGTTAATTGCTTCCTTTTCATGTCAATCTCAGTGATATAGATGAACCCAGCAACATTACTGGAAATAATCTGATCAGGTTCTTTGGCATATGAGACAGCAAGAACTAAATGCAACAAGTCTCTGTTGATGTTGACAGGAACTAATCTTGCTGGATCTGCAGCTGGCTCTGCACCAATCGGTAGAGCTGAACGCGGGGCTTGTGGGCCGCCTCCAATTCGGAATATTGACAGGTCACCGAAACTTGAGACATTGGAATACGGAGAAAGATCATTTGATTGACCATAAAAGTACTCCCTTATTCTATTGGCTCTGGTCTTTAGACGTACTTTAGCATTCCTAGACACAACACCACCAGATCTTTGAAGTTTCACTACATCAACATTAGGCTTGTTTTTCAACACGTTATTGAGCATACTCCACAGTTTCTCCTGACCCAAGACAAGGACAACAGTAGCATTGAAGGTATCAATTGCATGAAGTAGCAACTCGTAACCAACCCCTTCTATCCAACCCATGGTATTGATAACCATTCCAGCAGATTGAGATTCCGCATTTCCATCAAACTGCTTTTCCAAAGTTTTAGCTAGTTCCTTTACAATTACCTTGTAAAGATCAACATTCACACTTGGACTAACATGGCCATAGAAGTAGACTAGTGGCATTTCAAGAGGAATTCCATCTACTGGATCAATGGGCAATTCAATTGGAGTAGCAGCAATACAACCTGGTACAGTTATAGAACCTTGGCCTACGTCCAAATCCACAAAGGTCGGTTTCCACCCCAGTTTAGCAGCCCAACTAAGAAGCATCCGTGCTAAGGTACTCTTGCCAGAATCTGAGGGCCCCACAACGATAACTCTAGGCCCCTGGTAAGTACCAGAGTCATTTGGTGAAGCTTTTGCACGTTCCCGCCGTGCATCAAGTACAGCATGTACATTTACATAACTGATCATAGGAGTCTCATCAGCTGTATACTCGTTTTCAGTTGGCCCATCCATCTCAATTGTGGCCCCATACCAAGTAAATACGGCGAATTTAAGGCGAGGCGGGAAGGTGATCCAAATTTCAGGGGGCAGTTCGGTGCCGAAGATTTCGGCAGTGCCGTTAAGGACGCGAAGCCGGAGAGGTGTGTCGGCGCTGACTTCTATCCTGAGCTCACACTCTTTGTCAAGCTTCTCTTGCCGGACGTTCGACCTGCCGCTTCCAGCGTGACCATGCGTCGCCATTAACTGGTCGTACCTCAAAGCGAAAGGAAGTAAGGCTTCCTTTCAAGTAAGCAGTTCATATATGTTCATCATTTCATTTTTTTATTGCCTATTTTGTTTAAACTTACTCTTTAGCTTATAATTTTTTTAAACTGCAACTCATCTTAATAGCCATTGGTTTTTGTTGTTTTATTCCAGCTTGAGTTTCAATGTTTTGTATAACCTTCGATTTTAGTTAGGTTTATTGGAAATATTGATTTAAACCAAATCGTTATGGAATCAAATTCATGCTCAATTGGTCATATTTACTCATATTGTGACTTGGTTTAAATCAATATTTCCAAATGGGAATTTTCCATGCTCAATTGGTTCTTATTAAACATGTGTTAAGATCAGGAGGTTATTGGTATAGTATGAATAGAACATAACACATGTTCAATATTTCCAATAAACCTAACCAAGCGTACCTTCAAGAGTTCAAGATCCCGAACGTTGACGCAGCTTTCAATCGTCACTCTTCTTCCGGTAGGGCTATTTTGAGAATCACAAATGGGAATTTTTTGTTTGGTAGCTCTTTTCCCCTTGCAGCTAAGTCCGTCCTTGAGGCAGAACTCTCAGCCATTTTTGTTGTTGTACAATGGTTATTGGTGCTTGGTTACGAAGATGTTGAAATTGAATCGGATTCTCTAGCATCAATCTCTCTCCTTCGACTTCGGGCATCTTCTCCAACCTTTAAACATCTCACTGAGCCCAACACAAGGATTGCAGACGGTTCCAATTTCTCATTCCTTCATTGCTTTCGAGAGGCTAACGATGCTGCTCATCTTCTAGCTCAATCATTATCTTCTCTGCGCAGAGCTACGATCTTCACATGTGTTACGCAGCTTCCAGATCGAATTAGAGGGGATCTGCACCTGGATTTTGTTGGTTGTCCGAAATTAAGGGTTTTCTAATCGGGCTCAACCTGATGTTGTTGTTACCATTGTGGGTTTCCTTATTTTTACCTCATTCTTTCTTTACTAATTGGGTCGGGCCTGTCCCATAGTTATTTATTTAGGTCTTACCCACTTTATTTGTACTTTATCTTTTTCTTCTTAATAATATCCGGCAAATGTTTCCCGTTATTTGTCCCACTGATTTTGGTGGTGAATTTTTTATAAGAATATTACTAAAATGAAACTTATTTACATAAATATGACTATTCATTACTGCAACGTAGTGTTGTGGTAACTATAGTTCAAAACTTGAATATGAATTACTATGATTTCATTACTACCCTAGTAACTAATCATATTTTTGTAAATCATCTTTATTTTGATCATATTTATGTAATTATTTCAAGTAATAAAGACACTTCTTAGGATGTTTTTACTTGGACTGTAATTTTCTGGTCTGGTATGATCTTATCTGGTTTCTTTGTATTTTTATAACTACCCAAGTTTGGTTTGGTCTGGTCTTGTCTAGTCTGATCTGGTTTGGTTTGGGACAAATTACAGTTCAAGTAAAAACATTCCTAGAGAGTAGTGTCTACTTGCTGCCATAGAAGTAGAAAAACTTTTACCCAAATAGAAGTTCTAAACGTTTAAGCGGGGTAATATGATCACATTTTCCTACCATGGCATTGAGATAAGCTCCCTTGGGTTTCGCACAAAGCTGGTCTACTTTGCTCTATCAGTCAACTTTCACCGGCAAAAAATCCTATACACAGCTGCAAAGTAAAACTCAATTTCAGAATTATGTAATTCATAATCAAGTCACTTAATAATGTCATACTGCGTATAGGAAAATCATGACAACTTTGCAGATGAAAAATATGGTTATGTATAAATAGGGAGACATTTTGATAAGCTTACTTGGATGATCAATAAAAAAGTATCTAAGATATGAAAACAAGTGAGCAGATAATGTGCACATTTTTCTTCAAAATATGCATATTCGTCCTCTCTAAAATAATTGATACTTAGATAACACTTTACTGACTTTAGCTACTTGGGTTTGGTTTGAGGTATAAATTGAAATGCTGGTTGATGATGTGGTTTATGTGGTAAAAAATACTCTGCAAGTTTGATTGTCAGCATTGAGAAGTTCTATTCTCAATTAAGCACATCCAGAAACATAACACATCCCAAAATTATTTATAATTATAGGTTTAAGGAACCCAACTTTTCTTCTGAGATGGAACAATGCCATGATGCTGAAATCCCGCCTGACCTTAATCTCCTTTGAGAGGGTAGAAGACAATCATGGTGGAAAGGCTTATACTTGGAAGTCACGCTCAGAAGCACAAAGCTAAAGGCATGGCTCTAGCATCCACGTGAAAGTAGTCTTTATTTAAGTCAAAGATTTTCAACTTGAACTAAAATCAGCAAATTTAAAAAATTCTTGAAGACCTACATCATTAGCAAGTTTTAATGATTTTTTAATAGCCTATTTTGTTTGAACTTACTATTTAGCATATAACTTTTAAAATATGCACTTCATCTTAATAGCCACCGGTGTTTGTTGTTTTATTCAAGCTTGAGTTTCAATGTTTTTTATAATCTTCAATTTTAGTTAGGTTTATTGGAAATGTTGTCCTCAAATAAGCAAATTTCCCAAATCTGCATTGTATTGTGATTGCTCATATTCTAGGGAGCACTATAGTTTGGTGCAGAATGAACAAAAAATAACACTTTTGAGTAGTTTTCTAAACATTCGAACACATATTTAATGGAAATTTAAGGCAAATTAAAATAAGAGCACTTTTAAGAACTGAAAAGTGATAATTGTATCGGGATGGTGTTGATTTTTTCCCACATTGTAACATCTTATTGAAACAAACTATTAACCGATATAATACCCTTAATCTATTCTCTCAAATGAAGCTAAGCAAGTGGCGATAAAGCTCAACCGCCTTCATACCCTTTACATCACCTTTCAATCTTATGTAGTTGTGTCTTTCTCAATTTCTTCAGACCTCATTCCCTTTCAATTTTTATGATATCTCATCATGGTGGATCATCATCTCTTCTTTCTGCCCCATCTTCATCTCTCTTCCTTTTATTAATCATTTTTAGTATGAGTTAATCGATTTTGAGGGTTTGAATCTAAACATATGGTTTTTGTATTGTTTTTTGTTTTTAGATATGGCCGCACCTCTATCTCCTTCCCCTTATTAATGACTTATTATGAGTTCATCTTCCGAGGTTGAAATTTAATCATATGTTTTTTTTTTCTTTTTATATTTGTTTCGAAAAACTGGAATCCATTTTGGTTTTCTTTCTTTAGTCCACCCGCCTCATCACTTTCAGCATGATTTTTGTATTGGAGAATTGTAACCTATTGTAGTTATATATAACAGCAACACCTTTGGTCTTATTTTTCTCTCATGGAGCACCATTATGTTAACTTCAATTACTCAAATCAATCAGGTAAGTACCTTTTAAGTCTTCTACATAACAAAACTGCATTTCTAGGAAAAGTTTGTCCCAAATAAGTAAAGAAAAGAGTTGCATTAGGATATGATGGATGGTCAAATGGATCCTCCTTTGTCTCACTATGCTATCGGTACTCAAACTCTTGGAAAGACAATATAAAACTAAAGTGGGCTTTGCTAAAATCTGTTTGTATGTTGAAAGCATATAAAATATGCTTCAATGATCTATCATGGTTAAAAATTTGGCCGAAGCACATTTTGAATAACATTTAAAAACAGACCTCAGTTTTTCTTTGCTTTCTTAAAAAAGCCAATGGGTAGCAATGTGCATATTACTCATTTCAAGTGCATTTGCGTTTATATAATTGATCAAGATGGGTTGTTTCCCATGAATCAGTTTGTGCATATGAAAACCTATCACTTAAGAGCACCATTAGCTAGGGATATAAGAAGACAAAAGAAATATGTAAATTGGCCTTCAAATACCTTTTGTTGGAACTATATGGCTTCTAAGCTCAAACTCTCAAAATCCTTATGCCTCATTCCACATTGTTTATAGAGAAATAACGTTACAATGGATATATCACTTAGAAGTGCAATTTGATAAATCATGTCAAATAAGAAAACCTCGCTCCAATTAACATCACATCATATGGATTCCTCAACAACTCATCCTTTTCTCAGTCAAAAGTCCATCTATCATTTTTACAAGTGTCATATAAATAATACGAAAGATCATTATAAAGTGCTCGAAGAATTCTTCTATCAGAAGTTGCATGATGTTAATCATGAAATGAGATCATTTTAGAACAATCAGCTAGATAGTTCATCATTATACGAAAGATCATTTTAGAGTGTCAAAGAATAACATTATCGCATGTATTGCATGATTTTTTTTAAAGTGTCAAAGAATAACATTATCACATGTATTGCATGAATTTTGTGAAGGTATGTGTGCTTGAAATTATTTTACTTGACATTTCATATTCAATAAGGATATTTATTCATTTCGCGAAATTGAGCATCACTGAGTTTTAATGATTCTTAGAGAGCTATGTTTTAGTGGTATTTGGTTAATTTCTCTTGGTATCATTTTTTATGCTGTAATTTTGGGGTTGTTTATTTGGGTGGTTGTGACTAATCTATTAGGAATATTCAAATACAAGCATTTGGTGGGTGGATTTTGAATTGATTTTTGGGATATTTTTTTGCACTTTAGAGCAAATTTGTGGAAGGATTTCCAACACGGTTGGATCAAATTTCAAGCTGAGTTTTCACATTTAGGCGGTGGCTATTGTTATACTTCGTATTGCATTTCATGTCTTCAACTGGGCTCAGGAGCAAGATTCTGGGCAACTTTTTTGTTGCATACTGGTAGAAGTTCAGCCGGTTCATCAACAAGAAAAATTTCTAGGAATGTTTTTTTTGCTACCCATTTAAGTATTTGATTTGAAGAGCCCCCCTTAGTTTTAACCCCCCACCCCACCCCACCCCCACCCCATTTTGGGATTAGGATTGGCTTTGTAGCTGGGTAGGGTACCTATCTTTTATAAACCTTTGGATTCACTTTTCGTCCATCTCAAATAGTTCTTTCCACTGCTTGCTGCCCTTGGATTGCCTCCAGGTACTCTGCCGTGCGGCAGAGGATCCAATTCTCTAATTTTGGTACATAATTAGTTTATTTTTTATTTTATTTAATATTTAGTCATAATAAAGTTTAAATTGTTTTAGGACATCATTGAGATTCAAATACTAATTACCACTTACATCATTTATTTTAAGTAACCACTAAAAAAGAAACTCCTAACTATGCAAATTTACTTTCTTTCATAATTTTTGCTATAAAATTATTAGGATGATATTCAGAACTAACTATCTTTTAAGAAGTGTGCCAATACTTATATACTTCCTTCCTTTTAATAAATTGAAGGAATTCTTTTAAATTTCCTATTAAGAATACTTACTAACCTTCCTTTGAACTTATATACTTATACATTTCCCTAAAATGTCTAAACAACCTTGAATAGATTAACTAACTCATAAGTGAGCATTCAAATCTATATCAAACACTAATACTATTACCTAATTCACATCTTTATACACACAATATTAATTTTTATTCAACTATTCTTTTTCTTCAAAAATATTCTATTTTATTCATGGAATAGAAGGCATCCTCATTAATATGGCAACAACAAAAGGTGGGTAATCATGTTTTTCCCAGTGAATAATTATTTTTTATGGGTAGAATAAACAATTGGTTTATATATTTTAGAAAAATAGAATCCAATTTTGTCATATATGATTGATCATTTAAAATTAATATTAACTCAAACTATGGAAAAAGCAATAATATCTCAAACACATATTGGCGGTATGACTCTCATACGGATGAAAAGCTATATACAAATGGGAATCTGATGAATGTTCTTGATAGGTAAATGACAATATTTCTTAAACAAATTAGTTATGTTAGAATGTTTTACTTGGACTGTAATTTGCTGATCTGGTCCTGTTTGGTTTGTTTATGTCTGATCTGATCTGATCTGGTTTGTTTATGTCTGGTCTTTTCTGGTATGGTAAACGTCT